ATTTATTACTTAATTTCAGTAGGGTGTCTGCAAAGCAGCGATCCCATTTTCGTCCAATATCATCTTTGGACCACGTAGCAGCCATTTTTCCGTTTTTACAGTGACAGAGGTTATGTTATATAGTTCGTTTAATATTTATTAATAAATTGGCTTAATTCTTGTTTACAAAGGCCTTAATTCCATATCCTATTTTCTGTTAAATAGAAATCAAAATCCTTTTATCACAAGAATTATTATTTTAAAGGCAATTTAGTGAACGTGCAACTAGATAAAATCATACCTCATTGCAGCGCCATTATATACGGCATTTACTGAAATTAAAACGTTTAGAAATGAAGCATTTTTATTAGTTGAACTATCGAATTTATTTTAGATGTAAATGTTGAATAATATTAAAGATTACGGCTATTCACCACTTTTCGCTTGTAGCATATGTGACTTTAGCGACAGGTATGAACAAAATATGAACTACAAGCTCAATAGAATCGAGTTGGTGTGAGACAAAAATTGTTGTATGTAGTAAAAATAATAGTGCATCTAACAAAAGAAAAAAAAAAAAAAAAAAATAAATAAACCATATACTAGATTATACTTCTTTAAAAGAGTGTTTGTTAAGGTTATTCATTAGTCCTCCTTTTATAATGGTTTACACTAATAATGAGAATGAACGTAATCTTAATCGCATTTGATCAACAAAATCTCATTTTAAAAATTAAAGTTTAATTTAAGACCTCACTTTTTCGAATTTTTGAAAAAGCTTTTTTTTTTTTTTTTTTTTAATTGTGTTAAAAAATGACATCTTTTCGAGAATAGTTTATGTACAAATAAAAAACTTTCAAAAATTCGTAAACGCAAAGTCCTAGATTGAAATTCTCGTCTTTAAAGTGAGATTACCTGCTTATTTCTGCACGTATATAACTGATGTTCAGATTTTCTGAACCATTCCAACACACAAATAAATCACGATGATCGCACGGAAATGTTTATTCGATCACTCTTTGGACAGATGATTTTATGGCAAAAATAAAGAAATTCATATTTAATGTCACAAAGATTTTAACGCGTCAGAAACTTAGAATGAATTTAATTTAAAATTCTAATATTAAAAAATTTTTATCTCGAGATTGTTGTCCGTGTGTAATATCGACTTATATACGCACTGTTCATTAACTTGAACGATTACCGAGCTTGTTTTCTTTTGCATTCCAACGAGTACACATCGAAACTGTCTCTTTCTAAACGTGAAAACTAATAAATTAATACTTTTGATAATTTTATAATTATTTAAATAATCTTTAATGTACAATTAAGTACAATAAGTTAATATTTAAATAATAGTATATTCGTTTAGAATACAAAAAAGATGGAAACTTACAAGAAATTTAAAATAATTTTAGTATAAGATTCCAATACTTTACCGACTGATGGTCAAAATAAGAATCTATTTTACCATCAGTCGGGAGTGAAGAAAATTTACTTTACGAAAAATTTATTTTTACGATTGATAATAGGAATCTATTTTTATTTGTCGTCTGTAAAAAAGGAATTTACTTTTATCCATCGTCGGATTCATTGTTGGCGTAAACCGATTAAGAAATTTGTTTGATGAATAACCTTCAAACAAAAATAGTACATTAATATAGAACAACAAAGTACTTAAGTATACTCAAAATAATTAATCATATGATAAATTTGGCAAATAGATAACTTATCACTTAATATTTTAACATTTTTACAAGACAATAAAATAGTTATAATTTTCATACAAACGATTTCGTATGTAATATTTTATTGTAATTTTCCTTATACTTTTAAGTAGTTACATTTAAACATTAGTATTTCTATTTTTGTACATAACGTAACACATGTGTTATGTAATTTTAAAAACTATTGTGATAATGTTATCAATCCTTTTTTTTCTCTAAAGTTGGCACTGGAGTTTTCGAAGACTTTGAAGGGAAAATAATAAATAATGACAACTGAGCCACTGACAAAACAAAACCAACTGAGTTCTGAAACTTTAACATAATTTAGTTGAAATATTTGTATTCTTTAAGCATTGAAAAAATGAATTATCCCTTATAAAGTTATGATTATACTTACAATCACAAAAACATTATTTATAATAAGTCCATATAACAACCATTGAAATGATACTGCTGTGCCCATAACAATAAGTGGAAATGGAAGAATTGACGTATCTTTTGTCTCTATAATTTTTCTCTGTAGATATAAATAAACAAGAATATGAGGATATTTCATATTATAAACTATCATATATTCATTTTAGTTTATACTTACAAGATGTATAAGAGGAGATGCTATTAAAAATAGAAGTAATACAGTTGTAATTACACCATATCTGTATTCAACTTTGTCAGGATGTTCCACTTGAGTATACGCGAGAAATACTGCTATAAAAATCACTGCTTTACTTATTAAAGCAAGCGTATCTTTCTATAAAAATTATCACAGAAGAGAAAAATTCTCATATTATTTTGTTTATCTGAAAGTTGGTCGTTACATAAACAGATTTTATATAATTCTAACAATATGATGTACGTTGTACGATGGTGTATAAAATGATATTTATCAGTAATTTTCCAAATAAGTTTTGTAGAAACATTTTCCATTTTTTTAAAAATGAAAGCAGCGTCCAAACAAGTTCAAAATATTACAATAACATTAATATTAATACATGATAGAATAAGATAAATAAACAAATGTCGAACTAGCTAATATAGGATATAATGAAACATATCCGGATTCATTGATTGAGAAATGATTGCATGGTTATATAATTACTTTACTATGTCAGGACAATTGCAATCCATTTCATATTATGATCTATAAAGAAATGACAGTCTATACAAAAATTTCCTAATTATATATATATATATTGGAATATATATAATATATTGTTAAATATATCATCTTTCTACTTTATAGATCATATTGAAACTATATTTAAATATATTGCGTGGAAAAAAAGCTTGCAATTAGTAAAAATTAATATTTTGTTAAGCTCCAGTAAATTTCTTTTACCATTTTAAATAATCATTTAAACAAACAGAAAATCTCTTCACTTATACATTAAATTAAAAGTAATAATATTGTTAATAATACATATATGAATTTAAAACAGCATGAAAGATTATTTATATTAATAAAACATAGAATCATACCATATTTGGAGAATAATAGCAATACACAGCCATATATACAGTATTTGCTATTAATCCAAAAACATTAACTTTAATCATAGTAGGGTCACCAAGCATCCAGGCATAGCGAAGCATTAATATAGACCTACAAAGAATCTTAATTGTTATATATTATTTTAGCTAATTTTGTCAATAATTGCAAATTAATATTTTAACTAATTTTTTACAAATGTTGTAAAACAAAATATAAGGAAATAATTTAAAAAAAAAAAAAAAAAAAAAAAGATTTGTAAAAAAGCTAACAAATTTAAAAATAAAAATGTTATAACAAATTTTCATCAATAGTATATATTAATATTAAAAGCATACACCTTTGAAATATAATTTAATTATTATAAGCATAAAACTTAAAATCTTTAATGTATTATTATTATTTTTCTTTTTTTTTTTTTTTTTTTTTTTTTAAATAAGATTGTACACTTACATTCCTACACCACCCAAAAAGGGCATAGGATCGAAGCTCTCTGAGGATTTTTTTTTGTGAATGTCCTTGCATATTACACTGCAATCAAATATTTAATAATTTAATTTATTCTTACATTTAATATAATAATTATAATCATTAGCATGTAATTGTCACGTGTTTATCTGAACATGTCATTGAACATAGCTTCGATTAATATTGATTGCATATATTACGTTATTTTTCTGTTTTTTCTTTTCTTTTTTTTTTTCATTATTAACTCACGTTCCTGATAACATATGTCCTATTGTTGTAATTGCAGCGCATGTACCAACAATATCTTTATAATCATCTAGAACCATGTTTTCTAAGTTTTGTTAAGGTCACTCTCTTCTATTTTTTATTTTACGTGATCACAGTACTATGCCCGATCAAAGTCAATCTACGATATATCCATACAGAACGATCTCTCAATCAGAATAACCTTTCGTTTTGAAGTGCGTGTAACTTCAGTGACAAATGCAGATAAAAAACGAACTATAAGCGCAACAAGGGAATATACTGTCGCCACCATGCGCCCATCGGTGTATGAATAACATTGATAGGTTATATTTCTCTACAGGCAACATAACAATAGGGTTAGTTTTTAATAGAGTATTAATTTATTATTATTCTAAATTCGCGTATTTTTATCTCCCATGTTTGTATTCTTTTTTAATAATGACATGAGTTTCGCAGTAATCTGTTATCAGATATATACGATACGAATGCCGGTACGCATTTTTTTTTTTTTTTTTTTTTTTTTTTTTTTTACGATATAACATATCGAATAATAAGAATAATGAATATAATGAATAAAGAATATAATTATTAGTATATAAATTTGCGACAAAAAAAGAACAAAATTTTGAGTATTTTATAGAAAATAATAATTAGTGAATATAGCTATATATTATATATTACCGTAATAAAAAATCAAAACGTGACTTAGTTTTCTCACATTATCTATGAAATAGAATCTCAATGCTATTATTTTTTGTAATTTCTCCTGCATGACTTTCTCAGTTTATTTTATTATTATTATTGTTACTACTACCACTAATACTAGAATAATAATAATATATATTATATCGGTATTATAAAAGAATTATCTTTTGTTAAATTAAAAAAGCCTTTATCTTTCTATCGATTCTTATCAATTTTTATTGCATACATCCTTAACGATAAAATATGAAAGATATTACGTCGATATTTGTAAGTATCATTATATTATTACAAGTAAAGATACATCATTTAAAATCATTTCAAATGGGATACCATTGGTTAATATTTTGTTAAAAAACATGAAGCATTGATAATAATTAAAAAATAGATATGAAAAAAGAAAAATAAATAGATTTTATTTTTTCTGGATGAAATATTAGTTTAAAATATGTTGATATATATTCAGTGATATTTACAGTACTCATAACTTTAGCTTTTTTGCATTTGATTCACTGTGATTGTCTTCTTCTAACTTTTCTTCTATCCTTATAGCAAAAACTTTACCATAACGTCGTCTTTCTGAAAAGTTTTTATAAAATAATGTTTAAAGAAAAAATTGAATATTATATTATAACTATAATTCATTTAAATAAATTAATTTAGTATATTGTATTTCATATAAAAGTTCTCTTGCCTGCTCTCAAAAGTAGGTGTTTGGATTGATATAGAATAGCTGCTTTAGATTTAACTTCATTTAATCCTAATAGAGCTCCCCTATTTTGGTTGTATAATATTTTTTAATAAAGATCAGGAACAATATATGTAATATAAAAAAATATTAAATAAAATGTTTGAATTGTTAATTAAGTTATTTCAAAGGATACAAGTTTATGATATCATAAGGATTTCTGATTTCTGTAACATTACTTGCCCCACTTGATATTATTACATTCTAAAAAAGAATTAATAAAATTCTTAATTGATTTTGACATAACAAATAAAAAAATGTATACATATATGTAACCTACCTTGCTTTTTCCATATACATAAAATAAATGTGCATGATGAATAGAAATTTTCCGCTGTTCTGGATTTAATATATCTGTATATTGTATTTCAAAATGTACATCTCTTTCTACAGCTTGTAAATAAAGTTTTCTATTCATTTTAAATCCAGTACAGGATGCATTTATGGTAATGATATCTGTATTCAGTTGCGAACATGCAAACTATAAATTACTTGAATTAGTTAGAATATAGAATGATAGATATAATTAAATGCAGTTACCTGAAGTGCTGCTTTTGTTTTTGGTATTACAGAATATAAATGAAACTTTTTCAAATTATTGCAATGGTTCTGAAAATAAACTACTTTGAAATGGCCTGTACCTCATAAACAATGTATATATTATTTCATAAAATTTGAACATAATATATTTACCAATATGTGAGTTTTTAATGGATCAGAATAAATAAATGTAAGCCTATTAAAAATGCGAAGTTTGTCTTTAAATTCTTTTACTAAATCATCTATATTAAATGGATTAGGAACCATAATTGAGCTTTCATTGTTCTCTGATTTTTTCTTTTTCTTCTTTTTATCGGTATCAAAAATACTATCATCAATGGTTTGATTGATTGCCACTGTCCTAAATCCCACTAGTACATATTACATTGTTATGGTTATAAATTCATTTATATTAATGATAATATTTATATTATAACAGAGGTTATGAGTAAAAAATAACAAAAAATGATAACTTACTTTCACATAACCTTAATAAAATACTATGCAAATTCGACATATTATCTTTCGTTGCATTTATGCACAAGTCAAAATACCCATCACTTAATTTCACATCCATATTTGCAATATCTATGAATATTGTTTATTTAAATACAATTTCGTGAGAATTTATTAAAATTAAACAATTGTAAATACTTTAAACAAAAAGTATATTTAAACATCACGTAATAACCTAAAAATATTGCTATTTTGATAAATAAAAGTAAATATTAAATAAAATAATATTTGATAAACTACGAATGTACACATATCACACGCACGTGTTCTATGAAACAATCCAATAAAATATATATATATATATAAACAGTTAAATATTTTTTGCTATTCGACCAATGAACATTGATCGATATGTAAGCAAAATTGTCGCACTGTAATTTGATTGGTCTTGGAAACGATATATTTCTGTGACCAATCAAAAACTTCAATTCTATCTGTATTGCGTTAGGATTGGAGGATTCAATCTCGACTTCATTTTTCCATACGACACTAGTTGATCTCGAGAAACTTTTAAAATCATTAATAACATTATTTAAACGTGCGAAATTATTTTCTTGTAGCCAATAAATATATTTCGTTTTTTATTATATTTCATAATTCCTGTCTAATCACCAATTAATGAGGTATGTATCATTTTACTTATCAATTAACATGTTAATGTTCGTAACATTTACAATTGAGTATGAAGTTGTATATTTTAGATTAAAAATTTTTGAAAAAGATGGCGTAAATAGTGTAAAACATTTATTATTCTCAAAAAGATCGCGCAATAAAAATATCTTATATAAAATTTTTATAAAATATTTTATAAAAAATAATATATTTCCTTTTTTCGAGATAATTTATTATATTTTTATCGTATATTTAACATCGCGTACATTTCTATATAATTCGCGACTAAGTTAACCTCACTTATGCATAAATTAATGATAATAAAATACAATACGATAGGTAGGTAAGTTTCTATCTAAAAATTCAAAGTACAAGTTAATATTTTCGGTAATTTTCTTTTCATTCGAACATATACATATGTGTATATATATGTATATATATATATATATATATATATATATATATATATATATATATCGATAAGACATAGGTGTGATGTTATCTCAACGAAAGTTTTCGATTTAATCATTGTACTTTATCGCACTTGTATACTTTTTCAAGTGTAATTGCATATTCTCGGATAAGTTTATATGTATATTATAAGCAATTCTACCGATAGTTATATAGATAAGGGTTGGCAGGGTGAGTGAGTCAGATTTCCAGGGACTCTTTTTCTCTCTCTTTTTCTCTCTCTCTCTCTCTTTCTTTCTTTCTCTTTCTCTCTTTCTCATTCTCAGTGGTTACTATCGTTCTTTCCGTCTATTTGCACGAGCACGTCTCGTATTTGTCGCATAGAAGGAAGGAAGGAGGGCTTCCTATCGGTGGTGTGTGCGCATTGCCAGTCCTCGAACGTGTCATTTGTGCGCACCGCAAAGTGTGTAGCTTGGCACTTGCAGTTACAGGCTTTAGGTTTGAATAAGGGGAGGAGCTTCGTGCATTGCCCAACGTAATTATCCCCGTCCTCCTACGGCTTCCATGCCTGTTTCCTGTGGTCGTCCCCGTAACCGGTATATCTTATATACACAGCTGTCCGCCATCTTGGTCGCGTGCACTCTTTACTTTCTCGTAATTCTTTTTAAAACCTTTCCTACCGAATCCGCATATTCTCGTGAATATATCGTCGGTTACTCTCTCACGGATTCTTACATAGTTGTATTTAATCATCGTTATTTACTGTTATTCGATTATTTAACTGACATTATACTGTTGTTCTTTCTTTTTTTTCTTTCTTTCCTTTTTCATTTACAGCAGTCTCCATCGATCGCTATTCGATCCAGGGGATTAAGTTTAGAAGAGAAGAATGTTCAAACATGAATCTACGTGCGAGCTTTCAAGAATTTCAACTGATTATTTTAAAGTCAATAATTATATAGGTAAGATGCATGCAGTTTCTTTAAGAAAAATTAATATAAGAAATTATTATTATTATCATCATCATTATTATTATTATTATATTATTATTATTATTATTATTATTATTATTATTATTATTATTGTTGAGATCATAAGACCAATTAAACAATGCGAATAAAGTGAAATAACAAATATTTTTTGTTCGCAATATAAATATTCAAATGAAGAAAAACGAATGATACAGATTTTCTAATGACATTAGATTACTCTTATGTATGCATGGATTATCATATATATGTATGCATGTGAAGGATTGAAAAAAAATTATAGGAATGGCGTAAGAGTCGTTTATACCGTAACTATTTAATCGGATAACCGTCGGAGAGAAATAGGTATAATTCTTTATCTTAACACGTCGGATATTATCAAAGAAAATTCCCACGTCAAGTTGGACAGTTCGTGTCTACATTTTTTACCGCTTTAATATTGCTGTCAGCATCGTGCCACTCCCACAGTTGTCACTTATCTGTCAACTGTCCACCTTGAAGTGTTGCCATTGAGAATATCAAGTGACCCTATGTCAGGCTAACGCTAACACGTCAGTGATTTAACATTGCCTGCTACACGGCGTTCCTTTGACACTTTATCGATGTATTTACATATGTATAGGCGATACCATTTTTTTTTTTTTCATTTATATTCATTTCAAAATTTATGCCATTAATAATTACTTTTAATTATATTTACCATTATATAATTATTACAATATTATTATAATTATTATAATGTTATTGTAATATTATTATATTATATTATTATTCATAATATATATATATATATTTTATTTTCATGATTATTAAGTGATCCAAGTAAAAAATTACGAAGAAATTTAATTTATCGTTTATATTCTATTATATCGATTTACATTATAATAAACTATAAGACAATCATAAAAATATATACAAGTATATATATAATTTAAATTATTTTCATAGGCTTCATCAAGGCTAAAATACTACGAATTGTAATCGTCGAATTTATTTCATCAGCAAATACTATTCTTAGATCTAAGATAATACGTGGTCCTTCCTTTCGTACAAATAGGTCGATCAAATTATTTCAAATGTGGGTCTAGTCAGTTTACTGGTTACGTACTAGTTAAAATATAAAAGACAGAAATGTCTTTGAGAGCTGGGGCAGTGTGACACGCATGACACCGGTCATTAAACGTTGCAACGTTTTCCAGCCTATTAAAAAGGAACTTGTTGATAATTAGTGAATTAATGATAATTGTTGTATACGAAGTTCACAGCAAGACTTGTGTTCCAAGTTTTCCCATGCACCCGGACCAAGGTTTCTTTGTTAGGCACATCATGCGCGAAACCATGCGACAAGATATTCTTTATTACTTTTACATACAGCGTCTACAATAACTCTGTCAGCTAAAAGTTACTTTACTACAATTGTGACATCGAGTGGGTCTAGTTGTCACTTTATAACAATGACAAAGTCACTATTTAGTTTTCGTGTTTCGTTCATATACATATATATATTACGTCTATGACGTAAGAAAATGTCTTAAGATGAACTTAAAATAGAACTCAATGTTCCGACGGATGAAAGGAGAAAATTTGTGCATTTTCTTTCTTTTATTTTTTTATTTTTCTTTTTCCCCTACATCTTTTTCTTACTTTTCTTTACTTTCTCCTCATTGATTTTCCATTTAAAATGCATACTACTTTGTCTTTTACACGCTAACAATTCACAAAATATCTATGATAAACGATCTGTCATCTTTCTCGTATCACTGTGACAATCAACCGAAAAAGAGTAACTCAAGGATCATTCGAAAGATTTAACATCAAAGAGATCTACCGACGTTGGGTCCAGGCGATACCAACTCGAATTACTTTGATCAATCTGTTCGTCTACGTAGAAATCTCAATTCCACGAAATTTTCTCACATACGCGGGCGCACACATAAACATATATATATATATATATATATATATATATATATATATATATATATGTATATATATGTATCACATAGTCACAAAGTCCAAAGTATTAATACGAAGTGTACCTATTTATTTGCCGTACGATCAAGGATATCCATCCATTTTTACGTCGTATCGTGGTAAACGTTGTGGCCTTGAGATTATTTTACTCGTATCATTTTGACGTTCCGGGTATGGTTCGCTATACTTGGCCTCAATTCTTCCCAATTTACTGATTATCGCACTTCCACTTTGCTATTTCTCTTCGTCTCATTTCTCTCTCTCTCTCTCTCACATACACACACACATAAACGAACACACACTCATTCTTTTACCTTTTTATTTGTTATTTAATCGTTTATTTATCATTTTGATAATTCTCCGTAGAGACATACGTAAATGTGTGTGTGTGTGTGTGTGTTATATGCAGAACCATTTTCTGTAAATACATTCTATAGATCTTTAGATCTCTCAGATCTATACTCGTCTTGGATATTTAAATGGGTACATCTGATGATCTAACTGAAGCAAAGGTTAATTTCTTAGGGACATATTCAATGTTATCAAAGTGTATCAACGAACAGATCTCCATTTTCATAAGTTGATAATATAATTGACAATATGTCTACATGGATAGTTGTGCGAAAAAAATAAAATGATCCTTTTGTAATCGTAAAATATTATATACGCGATCAGATCAGAGATTCTGTATAATTCCTTAACAACCCAATTTCAGGATATATAAAGGAGTCGAGAGACATTACAATGCCGCCTTTGCTTCCTTCCAAGGAACTTTGACGTGGCCAACTGTTTTGTGTTTTTGGGGAGGCCTAATAAAACGCAGCGCCGACAATGCCGTCGTAATAGCGAGCGTGCCTACGGCGCTTATTAAGGGTCTCGAATTTTTGGACTGACCGTCGTCGTTTCGGTCTGACAAGGAAATAACTTTCAGCGAAGATCCACCGGACGGCCCGACGAACATTGTATTCGTTTATTGGAAATCGATAAAAAGTTGCATGAATGAATGAATGGACGGACGGACGGATGGTTATCGTAATGCTCTGAATTGTTAAAATTTAAAAATATTAATATTGCGCTCGAGTATTTTACATATTAAAATCTTTTACTTGGTGAACGGAGAATACTGTTACATTCTCGTCGGCCATTTTGCGCGAACCTACGTCGACGGCGTTCTACTACAGCGCCGTCGATCCGCAGATCGTACAAATCACTTTTTTATCATTTTGGATTCTTCAGTTCATTTTATTTTCATGCAATTCTTTTTTTGTTTCTTTTCCTTT